ACCCCATTTGTCCTTTATTTATTTCTAAAGAAACACGACAATGTATAAATAGCTCCACTACCTTGTAGCTTATGGCCCCGTAGAAGCAGTTTTAGTGAAAGTAGGCTAACGATTGTGTCATACCCACGCGACTCTCTGTCGCACAGTAGAGAGATTACCGTATGGACATGAGAAGAAGCTTGCGCGCAATCGGGGAAACGTGGAGGCAAAATGACAAAATAATTAATCAGAATACCTAGCAAAGTTGTCTCCTTCTCCTAGCTCATGGACAGCTCCTATTCACACTCTCCGTCTCTGCATGTTTCGGAAGGGAATGATTCAGATTTCTCATGCCACAGCACTAGAAAACAGACGGGTCACTCACGTCCCACTACGTAGTCAAGCTCTGTTTGAGTCTGCGCGTCAGGGACGGAAGTGCTAAAAAAACGGGCTTCAATCGTCTCAATGGAGTTCCAATAGGGTTGCCACCTGTCCCGGTTTTAACGGGATTGTCCTTCTTTTTATTAACCTGTCCCGGGAAATTTAAGCACTCTCCCGGGACACTGAATGTCCCAGTTTTTCGAAAGGCTGCGTGAATACGTATGTTCAAAACTGTGTAGTTCGTGGCCGCGTGCACCGGCTCTTCCTATGAGCTAACTAAGCGGCTGCTTAGGTCCCCGCCGTCACTAGGGGGCCCCCTAACTACAGATGGTAGTGGCCGCTCAAAGTGTGGGGAAAAGTTCATCCCGTTGGCGCGCCCCACCTGTCACGTCTCTATTTCCCACCCGAGGGGCGCGCCAACGGGAGGAACTTTTCCATGTCTTTATACATTTATTCGTTCATGGCGAGTCCGCATCGCATCTTTATCTTTGCAGCGATGCAGAAAACACCAGTTTATTAATAAACAATTAAATGCCTCCTTGCTATTTTTTACACATTCACTTTTGCCGGCTCGTGCGCTTGAGTGCGGCTTTATCATTATCCTGTATAGCCTATTTATTTATTAAATCAATTATATAAAGGGGCGATTTGTCCACTAATGGCTTAAATAAGCAACTGAAAAACCTTTAGTAGGAAGCAGGGTGGAGCGCGCGACCCTGAGCGGAATGAGCGAGCCGAGGAATCTTCATAAATGCGCCCTTCGCTCACATGCTTTGATCGGAACAAAGGAATATTGACATAATTATATCTCATACACTGCCCATCATTTTAATCCCATATCAAACACACTATGTTATAGTAGCCACAATAGCCCCCGCCCCCGCCGCCATTTATATGCCTCGGTTTTTTATCAGACATACATAGGGAACCCTAAGCTCCAATGAGATCACTCTGTCCATTTCTTTTACTGTCTATGGGTTTACGCCCAATCTGGCATCCTTGCAGTTGCGTAATGCTTTGTTTGCGTATGGACGTTGGACGGATGAGACATAGAAAAACTGGACTGGACAAAAATACACGTGGAGAGTGGAATGGCTTTCTTGTGGTATGAACTGAACGTCTCATGTTGTCGTTTTTGTGCAGATTATAGACGGCTATAGACGTGTTTTCTTTATGGTCACAATGTGTTGGTGGAGCTGGGATGTGTCTACCCTTCAACATGCTAAATTACGATTTTAGAATTTATCTGAGTAAAAAGTATTTAAATAGAAAATCTACGTTATGCCCTCTAAAATTCAAAGCGACCTTTGGTGATGTAACGTTAAGCGCAGAAACATCTGTGTCAAAGGTAACGTTAACATTTCGTCATCAGTACCCACGAGCTGCTCTCTCGCTCAACCAAGGATTTGGACAACAGTCTTATAACTTAGTTAACGTTATATAGATCATATATATTCCATCTATATTCGTATTATTAACACGTTTTTTTTTAAGATTTAAAACATCTGGATTAAACCACTTCCAGGTGGGTCTCACTAAAACACCACCGAGCACAAACGTTTGTTGATGTACGTTAGCATGGATGGTGTGAACTCTGGTTTTCCTGTGTGGTAACATGTGAAGTTTTCGGGTAAAAACCATCGCTGCTATTTATCATCTATTGTTTTGTATGTTGTTTATGTTATTTCAGACATTATTTTTGTACATACGCTGTTCGGATCATCGGAAACCCATCACAGAAGCAAGAACACCTGATCGGAGTCGGACTATACCATGTTGGCACCTGTTAGGTAAGTTACAGACATTTCCTCAGGCAAAACCATAAATTAACGTGGTACCTACTTTTTGCCTAACTTTTTTTCAAGACCGTTGAGGCTAATAACAAGTAACGACACTTTATTAACAGCTGCTGTGGGAAATAAAAAAAAATACCATGATGTGGTGAGCTATCAAAGTTAATATAATTTACTTACCTTTTTATCAAGTGAGACATTTCCTTTCCATGACAATAAATGCTAACTGAATATGTCAAGTTTAAAAAATGATGAAAAAGCACCACAGAGCTATTATAAATGTGGTCAGGACATTGAAAGCAGCGAGAAGAAACTGACATCTCTTTTAAATATGCACACACACACACATACTCATGTAAACACAGACATGCACACACACTCAATAAAGACACGAGTAATGACTAAACATTGAGCACTAAAGTCACCTCAAGGAGACGCAGCTGATCAAATGTGCTGCATTGCTTTTCTTTAGTTTTTCTTATTTAATTACAGGGACAAGCCAAATAGAGGTGCTTTGTACCTGTGTATAATGACAATAAAGATCATTCCATTCTATTCTACACAACAATGCAGTTTAAAAGAGAATACGTGACACTTTTCAATGTCTCGTTTAATTCTGTTTAGGACTGTGGGCACTGAGAAAGGGACATGTCCACTGCTCTCTGTCCAGCCCTGTCGAGGGCTGTTGGACGAGAAGTTTCAGATTGTCATAATGAATTTACTGCCAAATCAAGAGGTCACGATATACTGTCTACACCAATCAGAAGACAAGGACTTCTGGGAGGCATTTGGACACTACATCAGTGATGAACATGGAACAGTGACAGGTGAGTGGGACAGTCTTGTTGCATAACCCCTAGAAAAGTTACCACAGTAAACAGAGTCCATACCAACATGCACAACATGCACCACCATACCAAAAGTTTGGTGTCAGTGAGATTTTTAAAAATGTTTTTGATAGAAGTCTTATTAAAGGGTACCAATAGTATAGTATAGTAAACGAGTAATAGTATGAAATATTATTACAATTTAAAAGAACTGTTTTCTATTTTAAAATGTAATTTATTCCCGTGATGGATAAAGCAGAATAAAACCGCAACCATTATTTCAGTCTTCAGTGTCACATGGTCCTTCTTAAATCACTGTAATATGCTGATTTTCTGCTCAAGAAGCATTGATTATTATCAATAAGCAATTATTATTATTATTATTTATAATACAGTATATGACAATTAGCGGAGGATAAACTCGCCCTTACGCATCTGTCCCAGGGAAAAAAAGTTCAGGCTCAGAATGACACCCCTGATGACAACATAAACCAAACAAATGTTGTAGTGTGCATTTATGACATGATGTGTATCTTGTTGAAATGTAGTGGCAAAAGATGAGAGTTTGGGAGGCACCTATGAAGGCACAGAGCAGATGGGGTTGATATGGAGCATGAGACCCACACCAGGAAGTCGATCTGGACTCAGGTAACCCCTAAACCTACCCTACACCCTAATCTGGGTACAGGCTGCAGTGAGGACAAATTTGACTTAATCAGCAATAACCCCACCTTGAGATTTTGCTAATATGTTTTTTTTCTTCTGCCAACTGAATCAAAAATTGTGAAATGTTAGTCTTATTTAAAGTTAACACTTTCTCGTGTATTCTATTAATCTTTCATTCAAGGTTGCGTAAGAAAAATGTTCTTACACCGATGGTGATTCACATTTCAGTGTACAGTGGGCATCTATCTGAAGGATTTAGCGAGAAAACACCCCTGGCCACGAGCGTCGCAGAACGCTGGTACGTTGCACCAGGTGTTCAGAGGGTGAACGTCAGGGAGAAACGAGTACGAGGAACTTTATTTCTTCCTCCAGGTATACACAAAATGATGAAATGCATGAAATTGATTAAAAATACAATTCGGACATACAGTGTTTTAAATCCACCTTTTCTATGACACCAAGAAGAGTCCTGCACGGGTCCCGCACCTGCAGTAGTTAACCCGACCCAATATCCAACAGAAACACTCATTTTAGTCCGTACCCAACCCGCCCCATTTGGCATAAAAACCACGACCCGAACCACACACACAAAAAAAAATTTCTCATGTAGCCAATGCAATAAATGAAACATTGCATTAAACAACAAGTAAATACTAGAACAAATAATGTTTTAGTTGGCCAATTTAACTGTAAGCTTAAAGCTAGTAAATATTTAGTAGATTCACTCTGCATTTATCGCGGTCGTCTCTTCTGAAACTCAGCAGTGTTTACCTGGCCGCTGGTCCTCTTTGTAGCAGCACGAAAAAGACTTTTATTATTTTATTATGAATGATACATTTTATTATTTTATTATAAAACTTTTATTCAAATTGTGAATATATTAAATACAAAAAGCGCTCCCTTTAATATAATTAAAATTTCAACCTTGTGATTAAAGGAGTAGTTCACTTTTAAAAAAACTTTTGCTGATAATTTACTCACCCCCATGTCATCCAAGATGTCCATGTCTTTCTTTCTTCAGTCGAAAAGAAATTAAGTTTTTTGATGAAAACATTCAAGGATTTTCTCCATATAATGCACTTCAATGGGAACCAAACGGTTCAAGGTCCAAATGAGAGTTTCAGTGCAGCTTCAAAGGGCTTTAAACGACACCAGGCGATGAATAAGGGTCTTATCAAGCAAAACGATCAGCCATTTAAAAAATAAATGACAAAGTTAAAGTTTTATAAGCACAAATGCTCGCCTTGCTCTGTTCTGTGATGAGCGTTCGTGACTCTCCTATTCAAACTCGTTCATCAAAATCTTTTTTCGAGTCATGACTTGAAGGGTCCTAGATAAGACCCTTACTCATCGTCTGGTGTCGTTTAAAGTCCTTTGAAGCTGCACTGGAACTCTCATTTGGACCTTGAACCGTTTGGTTCCCATTGAAGTTTCGGGAACCGTGCCATAAGGTTAAGAGAGAGTTTAAGGAATAGGTTAAGAACTACTTAGAGATAAGAACTTTTTGGGGAACCGGGCCCAGGTCAATATGGAAGAAAAGATCTGTCACTACTTTCTTTAAATCACAACGTTAAATTGCTTGTGAATAACTTGCGGTGTGTTTTTCAGGCCCTGGGCCGTACCCAGGAGTGCTGGATCTGTGGGGAGGAGGTGGTGGTTTGGTCGAGTATCGTTCTGCCCTGCTTGCATCTCATGGCTTTGCGTCCATGGCACTTGATTACTTCGCTCCAGAAGAGCTGAAAACTGTTGATGTGTCGTACTTTGAGGTAATTCATAACTTTTGACAATCTCTGAATGTGGACCAAATTTGACATGACATTCTTGCTGATCTGTAATTGTCATCAGACTTTGTCTTTTAATTTGTTCCCTGTGCATTGCGCTTGTTTCCCACTTACTATGTATATATATTATTCCTGTAGAAAGCATACCAGATTTTACAAAATCATCCAAAGGTACAGAAGGACAATCTGGCAATGTTTGGACTATCTTTTGGAACTGCCATCACATTAAGCATGGCGGCCAACTCAAAAGTCATCAAGGTTCGCTTGACCTGCACACACGAATGAACAGTTATCTACATTATAAATGCAGCTTTTTATTATATATTTATCCTTTTTACTGTCTTGTAGCCCCAGTGCTGTGTGTGTATCAATGGAAGTCATGTGGTTCCTATTGATAAATCTCTTTTTGAAGTCTTTGAGGAGATAAAAAAGTGAGTGGATTGAACATTAATTCACAACCTGACTGAGGCTCATCGAATGCAATAGTAATAGCAATCGTAGTAATATATTTTTATTTCTCTCCATATTTAATTACATTGTGATTTTTTTTTTTTTTTGAAGTCAGGAACTGACAAGGGATTTCCTTATTTGAAATACAAACGAAACACATTATAACTTTTTTTAAATTGTTGAAATTTACTGAATTTGGATAATTGACCTCTTCTGCACACAATTAATTTCGTCTTCCTGTCAAGTTAATTTAACAAATGTCAGAGGACCATAACAAGCCTGGTCATGTGACATCCTACAATTTGGGAAATAGAATTGGATGTTTTTTTAGTTATAAATGATGTTTATTGCAGGCATACGGATAGGATACGTATGAATGAGGAGAACCAGATAATACATAGAGACCTCATTTTGCCGATTCCCTCAGACCCGGCTCTCAAAGTAGACGTGAGTACGACTTTGACATTTCTTTGTTCGTTTACAGTTTGTTTGCATATAATTATTATAATTACTATTATTTGTAACGCCGGTTCTCTATTTTTTTTTTAATGCACATAGGTTGGGAGAATAAAGTGTCCTCTTCTGTTGGTGAATGGTGGTGATGATCAGAGCTGGCCTTCTGTTGAATCTGCTGCAGATGTGAGTTATATATATTTCATTTTGTCCAAACATGATACCTCAAAAGGACAGCTAATGGAAGACAATATTAACAATAAACAATGAGACCATTTTAATGGAATGGTTACCAAAAAATTACAATTCCTCTCATATTTCTTTCTCCTTGGTTTTTTCTCTCTCTGTAACAGTGTTATTGATTAATAAAATCTACAAACAAATATTTAACTATATATCTGTTTACTAAATATTAAAGTGTATTAGTAACTAACTAACTATATATTGAAATAAAGATGAAATAAAATAAAATGTAAATATTAGATAAAAAAAACTTTTTTTGCCTTGACTTCTAATCGAAATAAAAAGTACTAAAATTACTAAAACTTTACTAAAAAAGTTTTAGTAAACTTTTAAAGTTTACTAAAGTTTATATATATATATATAGGGCTGTCAAATGGTAATCGCGATTAATCACATCCAAAATAAAAGTTTGTGTTTACATAATATATGTGGGTGCACTGTGTATAATTATTTTGTATATATATATATATATATATATATATATATATATATAACACACACATGCATTTAAGAAAAAAAAATATTTATGTGTAAAATATTTATATAATATATAAATTATATATAAATCTATATACAGTATATACATGAAAATATTTCTTAAATATATACAAGCATGTGTGTGTATTTATATATATATATATATATATATATATATATATATAATAATTATACACAGTGCCCCCCATATAGTATGTCAACACAAACTTTTATTTTGGATGCGATTAATCACGATTAATCGTTTGAAAGCCCTAATATATATTGAAGAACCAAACAGTTTTGGTTACCATTGACATAAGTCATTCAGGATTGAAAGGACATAAGAGTGAATATATGATGACAGAATTTTCCTTTTTGGGTGAATTTTGTTATCAACTTTGACCAACAGGTGTCACTATCAGTATCTACACAAAATCTAATGCTAAATATTTGTTAGTTAAAGGTGCATTGTGCAACATTTCATGTTAAAAATAGCCGTTTTCTAACCCATACATGCTTAAACAACGGCCTAATGGGCCCTTCTCTGATCACTGAGATCGCCTCTATAATCCTGTACAGTAAAATAAATAAGAAGCATTCGGGCTCGAATCTGAGACTGGCCGTGACGTCATGCGCGTTCACGCTCGCCTGGCTATGTCTTGCAAGTAGTGTATTCGCCGCCATTCTCCGTATCAGAGAAGACAACTCGAGCGACACAACTTTAGTCAACTTTCCACAAAAGTAGAAGATGGATTCAAAGGAGCTGTTTAGCCTACACCTGGTCACTTCATGCGGTTTCTGTGATCGGATAGCTATTCGATCGTGAAAAGACCAGGTTGCCCTCCGAAACGCATTAGAGACGGATCTGAATCCGATCGCTCAATTCACTCGAGGACGTGGTCTGGGCCGTATTCCAGGCAAAACTGGACAAGTGTAAATGCATCTGGTTGTTGAAAGCAGGCTATAGGTTGTCATGTTGCATCACCTCAGAGGATGCCTCACCTATTCATCAAGCCAGCGCGCCGCAATCTATCGCAAATCAAAGTGAAAGTAAGTCGCAGACTCTTAACACTACCATCTTCATTAAAAGTAAAGAAATGAACTGATCTTTACCAGGCCTGTTGCCGGTAAGATCTCTCTTATTGCGGTCTTTGCTGATTTTGAAATTAGCCGATGATTAATAAAATGCAGCTCATATCTGTTGCTTTCGGTGACGTGCACTTCATGAATTCCGTATATAGCGCGGGAATTGAAGATTATATCCGTTTTGCAAAAACACATTTATGTGAGGAGGTGTAATGGAATTGTTTTGATAAATCAGATAGCTATCCGATCTGAGAAAACGCATCGTGGCCAGGTGTAAACAGCCCCAAAGAGACCGGCTTGTAGTTCATTCCAAAACCCAACGCACTGCCTGTCCAGTGCCAGGCGTCGGAATAAGACGAGAGTCAACATCGGGAAGCTTTCAACAAACGGAGAGATCTCCGGTCGGCTCTAGGGCTCAAACGGGTCTTACAAAGTAATAACTTGTTCATGAACGTGTTTCCATAATTATACAATCATACGTGGATACAAAAGCACATAAAACAGTTCAATATGGAGATAGATGGAAACCACCCTCTTTTCCCCTCACACACATATAAGTGTGTACTCGAATGCCTTTCCTTTCATACATTTTAAATGACCTGCAGATTTATAACTGTATTACCTCATTATGACTGTAACAAAAGATGTGTGCCGCACACTGATGCTCCTTTGGTTATGAACAGCTCGTGCAAACGTGCGTGTATGTGTGTGTGAGCGCGCACGCAGTTTCGCTTGTCGCCAGAGGGGGCGTAGTTCTGCAAAAACTCAGATACTTGCATTTTGCTCCTTTAATGTCATGATGCATAGGTCTGTAAAAAAAAATTTAACTTGCACATTAACTTCGTAGCCTACGATTCAATAGGTGTCATCGTACAGACTAAATACGCCGTACACGCCCCTGTAATGTTCTCAACTATGATTCAATGGTTTGATGTGAATTGGGTCACTTTTATACCCAGATCGAGATGATGATGGAGAAAGCAGGAAATCGGCACTTGTTGACAGTCCTGACATATCCTGATGCGGGTCATCTGATCGAACCACCGTACTCGCCGCACTTCCGAGCAACTAACTTCATCCGGCAACAAACAAGCGGGAAAAGTAAGCAAAATTTTTTTTTTTTCATATAGGATCAACATTTTTAGAACTTTTTTGTGTCATTTGAATATAGACCTTATGCACCAGAGAAACGTGGACGCCGTCATCTTTAGAATATTGTCTTTGAACTTCGCTCTGTATATTTCTATGGCATCGCTGTCGAGGAGTAATAAGCTGGTGAAGTGGATTTACTTATGTAGAGTTAAAGGGTTAGTTCACCCAAAAATGAAAATTAAGTCATTAATTACTCACCCCCATGCTGTACCAACCCCGTAAGACCTTCGTTCGTCTTCGGAACACAAAGGAAGATATTTTTGATTAAATTTGAGAGCTGTATAACTACCACATTGGCTCCTAAGGGACTGCCTCTTGACGGCCCAAAAAGTCAATGAAGAAAATGTTTAAATATCCCAAGTGACTACCGTGGCTCAACTATATGTTTATCAAGCGACGCGAATACTTTTTGTGCGAAAAAACAAACAAAAATAACGAGTTTATTCGACTATTTTTTTCTTCCTTGTAGGCCAGAACGAGACTTCCTTATAGATTTCCACGACGCATGCGCGAGATTTGCGATCTGCGTACACAGCTTACACTACTTCAGATCGCAATTCTCGCGCATGCGTCGTGGAAATCTATAAGGAAGTCTCGTTCTGGCCTACAAGGAAGAAAAAAATAGTCGAATAAACTCGTTATTTTTGTTTGTTTTTTCGCACAAAAAGTATTCGCGTCGCTTGGTAAACATATAGTTGAGCCACGGTAGTCACTTGGGATATTTAAACATTTTCTTCATTGACTTTTTGGGCCGTCAAGAGGCAGTCCCTTAGGAGCCAATGTGGTAGTTATACAGATCTCAAATTTAATCAAAAATATCTTCATTTGTGTTCCGAAGACGAACGAAGGTCTTACGGGGTTGGTACAGCATGGGGGTGAGTAATTAATGACTTAATTTTCATTTTTGGGTGAACTAACCCTTTAACAAAAGTTATCATGAGCATTGTAATGTTTATCATAAGCATTGTAAAGCAGATGTCTGGGGATTTTTTTTACGAGCAGTTCATTCATACCATAGACATCATATAGGTAGACGCCCTATCGACCGCTACTGCCTATTGGCACTGACGAGAATTGGAGCCGCCATCTTAAACCGGTCATCCGCTCCGCTCAGTGCAATCTGAATGGCAGGTGAAATGAGCTGTCAGCACATTAAATTAATCATATCTCACTGAATACTGAACTGATTTTCACGTGGGTTTTTTTTTTTTGCTGCAAAGGTCATTCATGTAGCTATGATACAGGACACTTGGTTCGGCGTATTTTAATGTCCATTGTAGGTTAACAGTAATATAATATTCTGATATAAGATATAAAGGGACCAGACACAATATATGTGATGAAGGATATAATGTATTTTATAATTCACACACTATAAATATAATAAAGAAGCAGAAACAGATAGTAGCAGTAAAGTAAGATATTTTAATAAGTTGAAGAAACAGTTTATGATTGACACACGCACATACATACACACGAACAGACACACACACACACAGAACGCAGCCACGAATCCCCTGAACGCAGCCACCTGTAATAAAAATTGAGAAGAAGCTTTTCAACGTGTTTGCATCTGTAACGTTAATTTCTAAAAATTAAACTCGGACAACATTAAGCCTATACCTTTTTTATTGTATGTAGATGTAGGAGGGGAAAATGTCGAGACTAAAGCCCTATTCAGATTAACTTTACAAGGGTAGATGGGGTAAGTTAATGTAATTTTACCACAGGACTTCTGTAATATCAATAGCCAAATCGCACGTGGTAAGATATAGGTTATCAATAAAACCAGAAGTTGGAGGGGTAACTCAATTTGCGCATCGCTGTCATGCGTGTATATTACGTTGCGTCCTGATGTGCGCAAACACAAATAACCTATACAACAGGGCAGTTGAATGCTTATCTGATAACCTAGAAGCTCTTGTAATTATTACTTTAACAGTTACCCCACCTCTCCATGCCGGGTGAACACCGGCTGATGCAGTAAACAGCAGTTCACAACGATTTCGGTACAGTAATAGCAAATATCCTTGCTCCTTCTCGATTATCTGGTAATATTCTATTCACAAAATACAACCAATAGTACGGTAATGTTAAGACTTACTTGTGAAAAGCCCTATTTTCGGTGGTCCGGCGATTAGAACAGGAAAATGCTCATCTTATCTGCTGCCACGCAACGAAACTAGGAATACGACCGGTTCAAGATGGCGGCCGGATTTCTCGTTTTCCAGCGGCCAATAGGGTACCTAGTCTCTATATGATATCTATGATTCATACCTATGCAAGATCGCTGTGAAAATACAGACCGGAAGTCAAAAGACAACAAGCGCAACGCTGAAAAGGGGCGGGGCTACATAAGGTCTATAGATCTGAATGTAAGGTGTTGTTGTTGTTATTGTTGCTGCAGTTGTCATGCTATGGGGTGGACAGACCAAACCTCACGCTTACGCACAAGAGGACTCATGGAGCAAGACAATAGCATTTCTGCACCAGCACCTCTGCTTCAGTTCAAACTTTGCAAAGGCCAAACTGTAGTTTTTTTTTCAAATGGAATGATATATGATTGCCAGCACTTGTTGTTACATTTTGCTTTGGTACCTGCATTAAGGATTACTTTTTATGTGATACATTTGTAGCAGATTTTACATAATTCATTAATTATGTTTGCAATAAAGGGGGGTTATAAATATAGCATTATTACACAGGTTTTGATAACACTAACTAAGGAATTACAAGCACAGTTTAGGTTTTTTGAGAACGATTTCTTTGCACACCAGTGATCAAACTACATTTTCTTCATTTTGTACCGGCGTTTAGATGATTTCATTGTTTCATTTTATTTCGTTTAACTTTCTTTGTTTCTTTTGATTAAAAAGAGTGATTTCTATTTTCTAATGTGAATATCATAATTATTCAGTATTTTAAATAAAAGAATTGATGCAAAAGCCTTAAGGTTTTAATATTTTAGTGATTCTGTAACTACTTGCTGTAAAAAATGAACTTTACATCACTTGTTTTTGTAGTCACTGATAAATTGTGGATGAGTAAATATGCTGTATTAAAATCCATATCATTTAACAAATGTTGAAGAGTGCAGTGTTTGTGTTTGACAGTTTTTTTCTTACCATTAAATTCAGAGATGTCACCACTGTCTGTAACATTGGCTTTGGTGGTACTGACAATATAAAATGGTAATGTCAAATGTGTTCTAACTGCTGTAAAGCAGAGCAAATAATTGTTGTGTATTTGAAATAGTTTTAAAAACGAAAAAGTAATTTTAAATTTGTTCAGTTTTTAGATGTGTGCTGTCTTTTTTAGAGTAAAACATTGATGTGTATCTACATAAACATATACATCGTAGCTAAAGTTAGCTAGTTCTAGTTACTGTATCATTAGCTACCTAACGTCGCTATTTTAGCTAAGAGGTTTTATGGCTATGAATTTTCGAAGGATACTGATAATTGGTGTTACATATGCCAAATAGGAGCACAGTTTCAAGAATAGTGTGAAAAGCGTAGCCTAAAACTTTAATGTTCTGTTTAATGCTATGTTTTTAAGATGCAAGAAACGCATCATGTGTGGTGTTTGGAGCCGAGCCTATGACAAAAAAAATAAAATAAATGCTGCTCGCGCCTTAAGATTCACGTTTATCCCAGAGCCGTTAAATATGTTTCAACAGTTTATCCTCCATTCTGCCCCCTAATGCTGTATTGGTAGGCAGCTCACAACGTTTTGAGACACCGCAAGTGTGTTTGGCGTAATACTGGGATATAGCAGCAGCACTACTCGCGTAATAAATCAGCGTTGTTTAATATCATGGGCGGGAGCTTCGCGTCTCCCACGCTACTCACACACACAGACACACTCTCACACAAAGATATTCCAACCCTCTGGAAAACACTGCTGGTGAACAAGAACAACAATGTGGACTTTCCACACTACAGCTCTTATGATATGTAAGTTCTCTTTCGAGAGGTTCTCTAATCTTGACATATGCAAACCAGGCTATAATGTGTTTCGTCAGGATAGAGTTACCAGGGGTGGTGGTGTAGCTATGTATGTTAAAGATCATCTGCAATGTACTGTTGTTCTTTCTAAGTCAGTTCCTAAACAACTCGAACTACTGGTACTAAAGCTTCGGCTTTCAACTACTTTCTCTATCTCTGTTGCTGTTTGCTATAGAGCACCTTCAGCTCCAGCTTCTGCACTCACAGCCTTTAGTCAACTCTTAGCTCCTTATATATCCTCTGAGTTTGTCCTGATGGGTGATCTGAACTGGGACATGTTCAACCCCCCAAATACAGTTTTACAACGGTTTGATGCTCTAAACCTTACTCAGATGATATCAGAGCCCACCAGACCTAATCATAAATCTCCCGCATCATCCACTCTGATATTTTGACAATTATTTTGACTAACAATCCATCTAATTATCAAACAGGAGTGTTTAGTCAAATAAGTGATCATTGCGCTATTGCATGTATACGTTCTGGCCTTTCATTCAAAAGGCCCCCAGTAATTGTAACCAAGCGCTCTTTGAAAAAACTGGATATGCAAGCCTTTCTCCAAGATGTCGCGGCTGTGCCCTGGGATAGAATTAATTCCTTACCTTACTTGGAAGAGGAAAGGTCTTTTTTTTAAAAACACTTTCAGTCTGATAATGAGTAAGCATGTCCCTCTGAAAAAAATCGATATAGTCCTTGGTTCTCCAATGAACTAGCTGAGATTATTTGTCGCAAAAACGCCCCCTGGAAAAAGGCCCGCTCTAACCAATCTCCAGTCGACTGGCTGGGCTTCCGTCAATGCAGAAAGAAAGCAACACAGGCTATCAGAAATGCCAAAATCTCACATTTTAAAGAGAAACTCAGCACATGTGGCACTGATGCTAGGGCATTCTGGAAAACAGTCAGGGTAATGGAGAATAAAACTATCTTCCCTCATTTACCAGTTTCTATGTTATTTAACTGAGAAGTCTCGGATGGCCTCACTTCTAAACCATCACTTTATTAATGCAACCCATACAGTTTCAATGTCAAACCAAGATCTTGTATCAATGGACACTTCAGTTACAACCAATGCAGATGCTCAACTTTCTCCATCAGACAAGAGGGGCTTCTCCTTTATGCCTCTTTCCACCTCTGAAGTCCAGGATGAACTCACCAAGCTGAACACAAAGAAATCTGCTGGTCTTGATCCCATGTTCTTAAAAGCAGCGTCCCGCATTATTGCCGCTCCCGTCACTAGACTATTTAACATGTTCCTACAGTTCTCTGAGTTCCCTATTGATTGGAAATCAGCCACAATTTTTCCCCTCTTCAAAGGGGGTTCTGAATTTGACCCAAATTGTTACCGCCCAATTTCCATTCTACCATGCCTTGCCAAGTTCTGGAGAAGCTTGTACAAAAACAGTTAAATGATTTCCTGGATAAAAATCATATATTATTTGACATGCAATCTGGTTTTCGGACGGGCCATGGGTGCATAACAGCCACCACAAAGGTCCTTGATAATGTAATTACAGCATTGGACAGCAAGCAGGTCTGTATTGCCACCTTTATGGACCTCGCCAAGGCCTTTGACTCTGTCGTCCATAGGATCCTCTTACATAAGCTTTCGAGTATTTGTCTGTCCTCCTCTAGCTGTGACTGGTTTGCTAATTATCTCACCAACCGTGTCCAGCAATTGAAGGTTGACAACATAATGTCAGACCCACTTACTGTCTCTAAAGGTGTGCCTCAAGGCTCCATCCTGGGTCCAATCCTTTTTTCTATCTACATCAATGATATAGCCAGAGCTGTTGGTACCTCTCGGATTCATCTTTATGCAGATGATACCATTTTGTACTCACTTGGTTCCTCTCCCAATTCTGCGGCTTCCAGTCTTAAACTCAGCTTCACCTATATAGAGCAGTTCTTTGACAGTCTCCACCTCCATATTAACGCCAGTAAGACAAAACCTATCCTTTTTAGCCGAAAACAGGTTACAGACACTCCACCTACAATCACCTGCATGAACGGTACGGTTCTGGAGTATGTCAAGGAATATAAATATCTTGGTATCTGGTTGGATTCATCCCTGTCATTCATTACACACATCAATAACTTTCAAACAAAAGTCAAAGCTAGACAAGCTTCATGTGTAATGTTATAACGCAGCGCCTGAAAATAGTCCCCGGCTTCTAACAAGACTGGGACTAAGTTTGTGTAGTCATTACGCCTGCTGCACTCATGGTACGGCAGTAAAGTGTCTTGATTATTACGCAGGAATGAGATCGCAACTTTACATTTTCCGTCTGTCTAAGTGCACGATGTAACTATAGAAGAGTCAAGTTTTAAATAGGAAAAATATCGAAACACTTTGGTAATTTTTTTGAGAGAAATGCTACTGGTCTTGTGCACTTCAGTGATGTATGCTAAGCTATGCTAAAAGTGGTGCCGCCAGAACCGGAGATCGGCTGAATGGATTCAAAAAAGGTAAAACTCAACAGTTTAACTCTGGGGGAGTTGTAAAATGAGCGTATTTCCAAAAAAAAGTGGAGTATCCCTTTAAAGATCCCCGGATCAACAAGGCACTTGGGGCAGCAAGGAGCCTCGTCGGGTACTTCCATAGCAGCGAGATCGCCACCACAAAGTTGAAACTCAAACAAGAGCAAATGGGCACAGCTCAACACAAGTTGACCCAGGATGTAGCTGTTAGATGGAATAGTTCGTACCATATGATCACACGCCTCCTTGAGCAGCGGTGGCCTGTAACCGCAACACTCTCAGACCCAGAGGTCACCAATTCAGCAAAGCACTACATGGATATGAAAGCTGACCAGTGGAGCCTCCTGGAGGAGCTACAGAAAGCACTTGAGCCCTTCGAGCAAGCCACCGTTTTCCTAAGTGGAGAGGCATACGTCACGGTCTCTGTCCTACCTCCACTGGTGAAAGGACTACAGAAGTCCACGGAGACAGCCTTTGAGTCGCAGCAGAGATTGCTTCAAGGTTAGTTTAATTATTCAGCTCTTTAAATCTCTTATAGTAAACTAACTGAATATTTTAATTAAGCTTTCCCAGTTTGCATCTTTCAATGTTTCCCATTAGCATTCTATCATGTAGAGCTATTGATTCTACTGTTCTACTCTTTCTCTCTAAGCACCTTGAATTTCTTTGATCTTAAGTGTGCAAATCAAATCCATTTTTTTTCAGATGGAAGTTTGAGACAACATATGATGAAGACGGTAACAATGTGTGCATCTTCGCTGCGGCCCTTGATCCGAGATTCCGAAAGCTTAAGTTCCTGTCCACAGACGACATCCTGAAGGTGAAAAACAAACTTCAGACCCTTGCACTTGAAGCCAGACGAGTGCAAGTCAGGGAAGAGCCTGAAGATGACTCCCCCAGTGACCAGCCAGATCACTCCAGACAGAAGCCAAAGTCTGTTAGTGTTCTGGACATGTTGCTTGGCTCTGATGATGAGGAGGAGTTGGAAGATGAAGACCCAGGCCAAGACCAGAGGGAAGATGCTGTCAGGAATGAACTGCTCGTGTACTTTGGGGAGAAACCCATTCCAAAGGACAAAAACCCTCTCCAATGGTGGAAGGAAAATGAAACCAAGTTCCCCACCCTGGCTGTTGTGGTAAATCCTATCTGGCTGCCCCTGCAACATCCACACCTTCTGAACGTCTGTTCTCAGCAGCAGGGACCATTGTGAGCAAAAAGAGCACGTGGACATGCTCCCATTCCTCCACAGTAATTCAGAGTAGGTTGTGTAGAAGAGGAGTAAAGAGTGGTGATGGATGAGGGAGGAGGAAAGTGGACATTCCTATTGCACACACTTCATTAGCATGAAAGCTTACAGAATAGCAGTTAAGAGAGTCAGTTCGATTCCATCAGGTTTTATGTTGGGACTGTTATATTGCGTTAAACGCTTTCTGTACTGTGCAATGCATTGTTTGGTTTTATTGCACTAAACCTTTTGAATTTTTTGAACAAGAGTTATGTTAGTACTGTAAAAGAGTAAACAAGCTGGACTTTTATTTTGTTTTTTGTGTAAAGCAGAAGATTTTTTTTTTGATGTGCAAAACTGGTTAATGAAATA